GACAAAATCCGCTGATAATTTATGTTCCCCACAAATAAATTTCTCGGAAATTTGTATTAAGAAAATAGTTATTAGTTTGCAAGTCCAGAAGTTTCTTTATTTGCAAACACGGAACCACCACAACCAAAAATCATACTTATTAGTATAATCGTTTTATTTGGAACTTTTCTTCAGCAACTTCTTCAAGGCATAATATGCCAGCTTCTTTTAAGTGAGTGTTTTCTTCTGCCATAGTATTTATGTTAGTCCGGAAATATTAGTAATTACAGCTCTTTAAAAAAGAAAAAAAAAAGTTCCATGACAACTACCTCCCTCATTAGTAACCGATCAATGAAAATTGCTTTTATTTGCATATACAGTATGGCCAGTCAAACGTGGTGTTTTTCTGAAAAAAGTAGTATATCTTTAGCATTAAAAGATCACAAAAAATTCCAAAAATTAAATTAGATAGCTCTTTTTTATAATCGATTTATCACTGCGCGATGATACACTTCCCGAGAGTGGAAACACAAATCATAAACTTTGGAGAGGTTTCCCGAGTCCAAAGCGTAGGGATGTGTAAAAGGTGAGCATTTCTGCGAGACCCTCATCTCTTTCTACGATACACCTCCCGAGAGTGAAAACACGAATCATAAACTTCGGAGAGGTTTCCCGAGTCCAAAGCGTAGGGATGGTGTGAAGGCGAGCATTTCTGCGAGGCCCTCATAGAAAGGCTGTGAAAGAATTTTTATAATACTTATCTTAATGTAGCCGAAGGCCTTACATAAAAAAAAACTACCTTGATTTTCTGAATAAGTTAATTTTAAGACAATTCTGCGATTTGTTGTTTTTAAGAGAAATTCTGCGGTTTTCTGTGAAACACGGCTGCACGTAGTTGCCTAATAAAAATTGAGAATGTCGAAACGCGTACTTATAATACTCTTTCTATAAACATGGACTATAAAGTCCCTACGCATGCAGAAATCGATCCTTACTTTTCTGTGAATCCAATTTCTGAATGGCAACATTTCAATGCGTTTATAAACTTCAAGTTAGAAGATGGCCGAGTCTATACAGCAGAAGAACTATTTAGGAGCTTCTGTAGGTCACTAGCATGCATCGAGAATGGTAATTACCCCAAATTCGTTACGGATTATGCAAAAAATCTAAAGACGGCTACGAAGGTAAACTTTTACTATAAATCTTGCTTTCAAACTTCGATATATCTAAACAATAGTGTTATAGATGAAAAGAAACTTTTTCATGGAGCTTGCAGAGAAGATTATTGAGCGTATTGAACGACGGCAATTAATGAAGGAAAATGAAATTGATATTCAGGAAAAGCAGGTTCTTATATTTTTTATACAAGTTATCAATATACTGGCATAACATTAAAGTAACAAATAACATTTAGTCCTTGCGGGTTCAAGTATCTAAATCGAAAGCATTAGATGATATAACGAATGCAATTATTGGAAAGCGTAAAAGAGACAGTAATGACGATTATGATAATGAACATATTAACATTGAGACTTTTGATAATGAGCAAACGGTAAGAATAACACCATTTGTTTAGTTTCGTAATCATCTTAAATGTTTGTGCATCCGCTTATATATTTTAATTTAGGCCAGAGAAAATTATGCTATTTCTGCAAGAGAACTTAGTAATGACCTCGCGATGTCTTCATTCAACATTAAAGCGAGCTCTAAACAAGTTTTTACATGGGAACATGTAATACCAAAAATGGAAATAAATGAAAATTCAACGAAGGATGTATGTCCACAAATGTTTGGAACTGATGAACATGCTTACTGTGATTTTACTAAATCGCCTCCCTGTATTTTCATTGAATAGTGGATTAATGAC